TGCATAATTAGTCCTCATATAGCTAAAACAGCTGAAGGTGTGCTCTGAAGAGACAAATCCTGGTTGACTTTATCAGAACTAATTCTATTATATAAATTGGGATGGCTTACAGGAGACAGCTGAGAAAGAGATCAGTCTCGTCAAACTGTCTTGAGGATAGCAGAGGTAATAATAAGAAGTGGGTTTGATTCTTTTTATTCCTATTAACTAAAGGGGAAATGCAAGTACTGCTGGATTTGAAAATGTCAAACTTTTTTTTTTGTTTGCCTTAAATACAGGCATTGGGAACCATTGTTACTACCTATTGTTCCTGTCTTTCCTAACTATGACCGGTGTCTGCCTGCTTTATGGAACTCTTCTGTGTATGTATCCATGAATTTATTTTAATTTAGCTTTCAAGCACATGTGTGTGTGATCTTTATTTTTCAGCATTTCATTTCCAGCAAGTGTAATTACACTGGTGCAAATGATACCATATTTCAGCAATGATGTTATGTTGTAATTCTGTCTTTAAATGAAAATATATCGTGACCGAGTCTTTGGTCAAATATCTGATTACATTTGTGTTGAGTGGAAACTAAGATACAGCTCTGGTGGGATGTCCATTGGAAAATATGATGTCAGAAAGCTTTTTTATTAGAGTTGAAATAAGGAAGCCATGGGGAGGAAGGTCAGGTTGCAGGTTCTAGTCTGGATACTCTTTACTGCAGTAGAAAATAAGTTTGTAAATACATTATTGAAAAGGCTTTATTGATTTTACTATTTGGAAATATCTCTATTAAACACTTTGAAAAGTTTTGTTTGTTTGTTTTTAATGTAGTGATAACTTTGAAAAGAGGAGAACTGTGTATCTCATTAATAAATCCAAGCTGTTACTTTGGAAAATTAAGAAATTTCTTGGAGGATGCAGGAGAGTCCTTATTATGTAGTTCCTTAGGATGAATTAACATAGCACTAATCTTTTGACTAAAAAGTAGAGAGTGTTCATTTTATTTTACGTTACTTCACATTATATTGAAATGAGTCAATATTCAACATAGAGTGAAGTGAGCCAGCGATGGCAGTGGAGGACACAGGACACTCCTGTGAACATGAGTTGCTTTCCTGTGTTTCAGTGGTGGTCTTAACATATGCAAAAAGCACGTTATTTTCTCCATTTCCTGTGTGTGAAGGAACATGGGAGGAAAACCTCTTTATTGTTCTACTGACATAGAGGCAAGAAAAAGTTGCTCTGCTTTTAGTTGTTTGGGGTTTTTATAGATTAAAGATGTGTGGTAGTTGGACGTTCCAGTTTACGTCTATTTAATAGTGGTAAAATACTGCTTTCTTGGCATTGTCACCATAATGTCGTCTTTTGTTGATGGTTGTGTTTAAGATAATTGATAAATTCTTATCCTAAAGTTACAAATAAGCATGAAGCAAAATTTCAGAAGTCTTGACAATGAGTTATTTCAGTATTGCTAGTTAACGTAAAAAAAAAAAAACAACAAAAAACCAGAAAGTACCTAGCTAGTGCCTTGAATGTTCCTACTGTGGACTAGAATGCATAATGTAAGGATCATGCAGCCAGAATAGCAAGCAGTCATGCATCTATGTGGGTGCTTTTAAGTGGGAACGTGATACATTACACATGATATTTCTAGAGCATATTGCTATATAATATGCATTCTATATTAAACACATAATTAACTGATTATGCATCTTGTCAGATTGGTCAAGCCATTGTGCAACAAGTTACCATCAAGATGGAGCATGGGTGTACTTCACACAGATAATATATTGCTCTCCGTGGGTTTCCTACATCTTTGCAGTAGCCTGTTTTCATACTGTATGGGCTGCATTGTGGCTAACTGTTCAGCTTTATCAGGTATTATTTTGCTTTGGTTTATGCTCGTTTCTTAATTTAAGAGTCATCATATTAAAACTTTTCCTTAGATGATTTGGTCCCATAAAAACTTTGTGCCTGCTTTTCTTGACTAATTAATGTCACAGGTAGGTGCTTTTCTTAAATCTCAGGGCAGTCCTTTAAGTTTCACGGGTACTTGTGCACTCAGCATTCCCGTATTATAAATAGGATCACAGTCTGCAAATCATTCCTATAGCTGAGTTCTCAGTTTACTACTCATCAAAAATTCCAGACCTATAAAAAGATGTATTTAAGGCAAGAAACTTATTTGACTAATAGAACTGGTATTACTGCCCCCAAAATGGCAAAAAAGCTCAATAGCACAATTAGACCTGAATTGAAAATTCTATGGCAGAGCTCAGCAATGCGTCATTAGACTGTATTAAATCCCATTGCTATAATAAAAATATATGACCTGGATTTTATCCTGATGAGGACTGTCACATTTCTTGCTTATGTTTTTCTCAGGGAGAGCTTGGCTATGCAAACAGGACTGAGAAGAGCTGTCTTAAAACATCTAGGAAACAGTTTGTTTAGCAGCTTTTAGGAAAGATGTGTCATTTGAATATGTGTTGAGCATACTGAGCTAAAGTCTTGTTTTACATCTTGTTTAAAAAAAAAAAAACAATAATCCACAATTTTAAATGTGTACTGCTAGATTTCTGTAATGTCCAAGACACTGAGATATCATGCTGGAAAAAAAAAAAGAATCTAGGTAGGATATTTACAGTTAACTACTGTGTTTTGTACCCAGTCATTTGTAAATGTACTGCTTTATGATACTTAGCGTGTCATTCAGCAAAGGACCCTTGCAGCCATTTATAAGGGCTTATAAGATTTATGTTGATAAATAAGAAAATGGAAAAAGGAATAGGTAAACAAAAATGCAGAAAACCCCCATAAATTTCATTGTAGAACTTGGTGAAAGAAGACATGGAATCAAGAAAATGGAAAAGTTATTGTTGAGTCTCTGATATCTACTTCATCTCTTTTGCTGAGCTACTTTGTCTTTTTCAGGGGAATTTTTTCTACCAAATTGTGTGGTAGTATAGACAAAGTCTGAGGAAATAGGTGCTTAACTGCTATAGATCTTATATTTCTACACACATCTGTAAAAGTACCATCTTTACAGTCATCCCAATTAAGCTTGCCTTCTCAGTGGAAGCGTTAATGTTACAGCTTGCTGGGTTCTGTTTTAGTCCAAGTGACATTTAAAACATACTTCTCAGTCGTAGTTACTTATTTGTTAGATATGGCCAACCTCTTCCCCTCCCCCCCTTCTCAATAGTATCTTTTGTTATCACCGTAATTTTAATTTGTGATGTTCACATTTTAACCATTACTTACATTTTCCTTTTGGTAAGATTGCATTCTTGGGATTGACCTCGCATGAAAGAAGGAGCCTCCTGATACAGAGAAGATCTTCTAAGCATCCTATTTCACTCAGGAGAACTCCATACAAGTGAGTATTAATGAATAGTGTATTTTAAGCACGTATCTTTTCAGCAGTGATTTGTCTCACTGCTTCATAAATGCAAAAAAGTGGTGGTCTATGGACATGCTAGTCATGCCTTTCATGAATTGTGTTAAGAGGAGGAAATGGACCTCATTTTCCCTGCTGAGAACTTCCTTTGCCCTAGGAAATAAACAGCCAGTGTAAGAGCTACTGGGGTTCTTGCTGCATGGCTGTGTACATTGGAGAAAGATGTGTCAAAATCAGTCCGTAATGTTAATCAGTAGACACTATTTTGGGGCTGAGGGGGTGTTGTCCTTTAATTTGTTCATCAGTCTCTGTGTCTGTTCTGTAGGTTCAGAAAGAGAATTAAGGTATGAGCTGGCCCCTGTCTGGCTTCTCTTGCAGTATTTAGCTCAATAGAGAAATTAGTACCAAGGTTTCCCTCGTGGTGAATGTGTATTTTTGATGCTTGCAATCTTCTTTTCTTAGGTTTATTAATGGATATTTCTCTCCTTTTCAGTCTTGGATGCTTCCAGAATCTTGCAGACTTTTTTCAGTGCAGTTGCTTTGGTATGTTCAAACCCAATGTAGTTGACTGGACCAAGCAATACAACCTTTTTCATCTGGCTAAGGAGAAAAATGTTCATTCTGTATGAAGCTTTGCTTAATTTTAAAACCATTGAGCTGAAAGCTAAATAAAACTGGATATTTTGTTAATTTTTACAGATTCTTCTGAAGTTGCTTGGTTTTATTTTTATTATTGTTTCAAATATTAAACCCATCTTGCACAAGCTACAGCAGGTTTGTATATGGAACAATCACTATGTGTATATATAGCTTGAGCTGAAACTATTTGAAATTTTGTGTGATGAGATGACACTAGGAATATATATTTTTAAAGGTAAGTTTTTTAGGGCAGAACTTCAAACCCTTTGCTTTATTTTGCAGATAATAAAAGAAAACTACATTTGAAAATTAAGGGGAATGTTCATATTTAAAAATTTAATATTACAATTACCCTGCAATTTTATTGCTTATGTTGTGAAAACCTCTATAAAAATCTTTGTATTCAGAGGATTTACATGTAATAAAACAGAGCTTTCATGCTTCTAAGTGTATTTTTACAGACTGAAATAGATTCAAGGGATATGTGACCAGTGAGGTATTTAAGAACAGGTACGCACAAAACCTAAGAAAAAGCCTGACTCTTTGCCTTATGTTTTGCACATATACATGCCCTACTAGTGTATGAAAATGGGTAAGTTGATGATGGAAAATAGCAATGTATATAAAAAGAGGGAATTATTCCCAGCCGCATGCGTAGATCTTTAATAGCTAGATGTCAGCCATGTTCCCAAGAAAAGGCTACAGCGTCAGTCTGGAGCAGCCAGCTGGGCAGTGTGGTTTTGAATATATGTCAAAGTAGGTAATAATGAAAACCAGCAGGGAAACAGATCAAGATCAGAAAATTAAAGTTAAATATCATCTAGAACTGATGACATAAGAGTGAAGTAGTGTAACGAAACGCAGTTCTTATTGTTAAGAAATGGGAGATTTCATTCATCTTGTGAAATGCATTAATCTGCGACGTTGTAGAACATAAAGGCACAAGCAGATTCAAGTAAAAATAATGTGAAGCAATATCAGTACTTTATTGTAGCTTGAAAACATACGATAACAAAACTTACAACACTGTATTCTAAGAAAATGTTATTTTTCTTCAGAACTATCTACCTTTGAGAGAAAGAATTTCAAATCCTTTTTAATTGTCTCAAAGTGAATAACATCTATGTTGCCGTAACACAAAACGTCAACATGTTCAAAATGCCACTAGGAGATTGATAGAAATACAGATGGCATAACATTCTGAATGAAGGAAAATGCAGCCTAAATCAGAACACTCTGACCCTTGTGCTCCATAAGGTATTTCTATCTTAATGGGACCATATGCTCAGTCTTTAAAATTCCAGTCTAAAATGTGGTAAATACTAGTTTAAGAAGCAATAATGTTTCATGAATAACGTTCCTTGAGGTTTTTTGTCTTTATTTACTGTAAAACAAACATGAATCTTGTTTTATCGCTGTACCTTTTTAAGCTATTCTAAGAATTTCTTAAGATATAAGCTCACAAGTTTTTCCTGCAAGGTGGAAAATATTAAACAAATGCCCTAGGTTCTTAGCAATATGTGATGTTTAATGTTTTACTTGACAACTATCACTCTAGCACTTTGAGTCTATTGCATCCATTTCTTCTCATTCACACTCCTTCTTTTCCACTTGAGTGAGGCCACCAAACCCAATTCCTTTGGGACCGAAATTTTTTGCATAGCAAACTGCAAAAGAAGGAGGGAGGTAAATGGTATTCTGAATGTTTTCATGTAGAAGTAAATGACACTTGGTTTTAGTACTACTATCAAATTTTAGGTTAATAAAAGGAAGGAAATTTGAAATAGTGTCTTTCGCAGAAGTGTCGACAAGTTCTAATAGTGAAACTAGAATCACATGTTTGAATAAAACAGAAGTCACGTCTGATTTTCTAAAAAAAAGATTAAGAAACTGTATGTATTTAAGATCTAACTAACATTTTCATTAAAGCTACTTTCCTGTCTGAAGATACTCAGTAAAACTTGGTCTGTATGAATAATAGAGATGGAGTAATAAGTTGGAGATTTTCAAAGGAGGTTAAAACAACTAGAACATGGTCCAGAAACTATTGATGGTAGTTTAAACCATTCCATTTTAACTCTGTATTACTAAGTGTGTGCGTAGGTAGTTATCACAGCTCTGAAGGAAGCAGCAATGGCCAGCATATTTTTCCAAATATGCTAATTTCATCACTTGCAGTTGTCAGACTGTACCCAAAGTCACAGAACTTAAGTATTCTTCTTCAGGATTCTCTATAAAGTTTAGCCTAGGATATAAAAACTTTGCATATTTTTCCCCTTAAGCTATTTCTAAGAGTCAAGTGAAGTCTGTGAACTTTCTTGATCTGAGAACAACATCTGGATGTATAATTAGCATTAATGCGTTATCTTTTGTGCTGCCAATATAGTGGAAGTATCTTTTAACTTCTACTGGCAAGAATTCAAATTAAGACTGTGACCTTAAACAGATGACCTTTGAAGATCTGTATCTTTTGGGATTTTTTTTTTTTTTTTTTTCCAATGAGTGAGATCGTGCAGGTACAAGAGTCTGCCCAGCAGATATGGCCAGTGTTCCTGTTAGAAGGTCTGAGGACAGATCTGAGAAGATATATTTGTAGAAAAATTAGAACTTTAAAATTTAAATGTTAATAGTAGCAGATGCAACTGCAATGTTACCATAGTTCTTTCCTTTGCCTTCAGAAAGTTGTTAAAAGAAGATCAAATGAAATTTCTTGAAGTTGTTAAGCATGCAACAAGGTAAATCATGATGGCAATACTAGGTCTAAAAAGACTAATTATAAATTGACTCAATAACCCAGTTCATCTCATTACAGTTCTTACCTTTACAGTAGAGCTCTCCATCTTTGTCTGTAACATTTGTAGATTCTAGACTCTTTCCACAAATAGCACAGCGGAAGCACGTCTTATGCCAAGGCTGAGGAAGTTAAGACAGTGCATTGTGTATTACAGAAAGTGCACAGGCAGCAGATAGAAGAAACAGAGAACTATTGGTTTTTGTGGTGTGAAAAGGTTAACATTCTTTTGGTGGTCTTACAGCTTCCATTTTTAGTCATTCTAGGTTAGTCTTTTTTCAATTACTTTATCCCATATCAAGATCTTACCTAGTGACTTTGTTATTAATGGAGGTCTAGTAAAAAGCAGGGATCTATAGATACTTGTTTTGGCCACTTCTTTGATGCGCAGAGATAATATTTTAGTGAGAGTTCCTAGAGCAGAGAGCTAGCATGCCATGTGAGACAGGCTTTTGTTTTTCTAGTCACAGGATCTCTTCAACGTATCTGCAACTGCCACTACAAATAAATGTTTAAATTATAAATATCCCCAGAGATGGTAACAGAATAACAGTGGTTAAAAGAGCCAGCCTGTACAGTAGCCGGGCGTTGCTCTTCAGACATCGACAAGATGCAAAAAGTTGAAGGCAGCTTATGAAGAGCACGTGGTTTTAAACCTGAAAGTACATCAGACTCTCCAGCAATTTGATAATTCATCCTGATGTTTTCTTCATTGAGACTATGAGTAAAAATTTAAAAGATCAAGGACCTGTTAGCTATAGTTTATCACCATTATAAAAGTGTGTTTTGTTTCTAGTGCTGTAGTAACTACTTACTTTTCCTCCTCCCATGATCTTCTCTGCAGCATACACTGATTTGCCACAACGAGGACATTTATCCACATCTACCATCTTTTTGGCAAACTTCGAAGGATTAGTTGGTGTAGAAGGGTGAGAAGACTTTGGTGACCCCCTAAAACAGAAGTTAAATGTTATCTTCATTCTAGAAATAAGATTTCATGATTTTTTGGTAAAGGATAAAAAGTACTGAATTATTGGGCTTAGACATGCAAAAGGGGGGGGGGGGGGGGGATGAAAGCATTCTATTGAATTCTGTGTTGCATGATTAAAAAGCTGATATTGTACCTATTTGGGGCTGAGTGCATGGAGCTGACAGCAGCCACATGCAGAAAAGATTATATTTAATGAAAAGTGAAAGTAAAAAAAATTTGGTTTATTGAGAGGCAAGAGGGAAAATACAAGCAAAAGATCCCTTTGTTCTTTGTAACTGGCTATCTGCTGGTACTCTGTGGAAGATAAAGATTAGTTTTTGCATCCAGATGATTTATTAGTCACTGTAATGTTTGGACAGGGAACTGGTGTTCTTAGCTGGCCTAGGGTCAAAAGCACATCAGAAAAGTAGCTTTGCTTTGGATTTCTGGACTTTTTGCTTTATGTCTTTGTGCTAGCTTAAAGCCTTTCACAGAATGACTTCTGAATTATCTGATTGTTGGATGGCAACAGGTCATTAAATCTACAGCATGTGACAGTTCTTGATGCAGAACTCTGCCCATAATGGATTCGTATCTTACAAGGAGCTACAGTTAAATACATTATTTAAGCTTTTCTTTCCTGCACAGTATATTGGTTAATTGGTTTCCTTCTAGTTATACCAGAAGAAAGCATTGTTGATTTGGAAATGTGCAGCTTTGAGAATCGTAGAAAAATACTGTAAAAATGTACTGTCAGAGATAATTATGTGCTTTTGGAAGATGGTATCCCATTAGAATTTCTTTGTTCAAACATGTTCTCAGTGTGTTTGCAAGTGTTATTTGAGCCACAGGGAGGATTTAGAAATGTTATTTCCCCCATTGAGAGGAGAGTTAACAGTATGTGGTAGTGTGATTATTTCTCTTACAGTAAAACCTAACTGTATTTTAGCCTCTCACAGGGAAAAAAAAAATATTCTCGCGTTCTGTGGCATTAACCACTGTGCTACTAGTGGCAAATTACAATTGCAGTGAATGTTTATGTCTGTGGTGGCATATAAAGGCTGCTTCTGCAGAATAATTGCCCATTGAAGGAAGAGATGATTTATAAAAAAGGCTTAAAGAGACTGAATGCCATTAAAAACTGGTAAATTACTGTGTCCACTGAAGGAAAGGTTGTAGGAATGTCTGCTCTACTACTTAGGCTACATGTTGTTATGGAAACAGAACAAAATGTCTAAAATACCCTGCTGTGTGACAAGAAGTACCAGAAAAAGGTGCTGTCAGTAGAGTTTAACTCACTGTTGCAGATTCAAGCCTAGGTGGTCGCCAGTATCAGTGCTGAGACATCCTGCCCCTTGTCCAAAGCCAATACCTTTGGGGCCATATTTTCTCCCGTAACAAGTTTTGCAGTAGATTTCAGATTCGTGAGCTGCTACTGTGGTACTGTCCAGAGCTTTCCTGCAAGCCACTGAAAACAGAAAAAGAGAGGCACATATAAACATTTGTGTGTTCAAATTTGAATTTATGTGGCTCAGAATAAGTATGATTAGTGTTTATTTTTGTTTATCTAAAAATACAGGAAAAGGGTGGTGTTAGGTTGTAATCAGTATAACTTCACTGGGCTGTTGCTCAAGTGGTTGTGCATGCACACAACGTGCTCTTCTTTTGCCACTCTGAAGTTATACTCTAACCCTACAAAAAACATGGGCTTGTCGAGACAATTTGTCTAGATCTGCGAAGCCTAAGTTGGAGTGGAGATCATCATCCTAAACTCCGAAATATCAAAAAAAAAAAAAAAAAAAAAGGAGGTTGCAGGGGTGTTGACTCTACTGTGCATCTGCACCTTTCAAAATAGTCACTCTGAGTCTGTGGTGGCTTTCTCATCTCAGCCCACACTGTTTTAACGTGGCATGTTTCTAAAAGAAGATAAAACGTAGATACCATAGGCAGTCAAGCAGGACATGGTTTCTTTTATTTATTTGTTTGAGCTGTGGTGCAAGGCAAACCAATGATCCCGAATAACTGGTAGTCTCAGCTTTGTTAGACTTCTGCCAGTGTGGCAAGCGTGTGACTACAGCTCTTCAAAACCAGAGACCTTTTCCTAGTCACATTTGTTACAGAGAAATGCTGCTCGGCTTAGCTCACTAGGAAAGGTCTGGGAGACTTTTGGACGGAAGGTGCCAGAGGAATGCCAAACGTTCATAATGGAATACAAGTTAGATCCTTTACAGCACTAATTTAACCCAAGCCTCAACTTGGAAGGACCAAAAGCAACTGAGTGCTAACAGCTGCTTATTTGGGGATCTCCGTAAGCAAGTATCTGTGTTTTGAGAAGCAGAAGTCACACCTAGAGCTAATGAGCATTGCTGAGGCCAGTCTCACGTGTGGTTATTCTCATCGAGTGGCTGTGGAAGCTGGGTTACTCTCTCCCCAGTTCTTTGCTCATCTGAAAAATGGTCAGCGTTTAGAGGCTGAATTCTGTTAGCTATGCAGTGCATCTCCTTGCTGCTTATGCGTGGAAACTGAGCAATAATGAAGGGGGGGGGGGAAAGCAGCTACCCTCCTCATCTGCTTGGTGACTCTGTACGCTGCACTGCTTTGGGAACTTAGTGTGACATAGTCCCCACCCCATTGAGGGAGGATGGAGCTTTCAGTTTGGAGTGCTTATAGAAAAAAATCAGGGGGTTGTAGTATGCTTAAAACCCAAAATTTATTTAAACACTTCTTACAAATTGTTCACTGTATCAACAGTGGTTGATGGGGGCGGGGACAGGGGGAAGGTAGGGAAAAACTTTCTCTACAACTTCCCTTGAATGCCCCAGAGAGGGCATTGCAGTCATGCATGGGCTGCTGACAACTTGGAAAATAAAGTTGTTTAGCTCATGTAAACAACAGAAACCTGTGAAATACAGAAGTATTGAAAGTAGTTGTAAGTGCAAGCTCTAGAAGAGCTAGTGGAGTGTTCAACTAGTCCTTTTTCTCCCATGTTTATTTTAACTGTCCTGCTGTGAGACTAAAATTCATCCACATCAGGGAACTTAAAGCTGATACTGGAACCACTGCAGCTTTAAATCTGTCACTGTCCTGTGTAAAGGGGAAAATAATTTGCAAGGACCTTTACAGTTAATAGAAATAAAATGAGGGGCTTCTGTAAATGTGTGAACCTGATCTCGTCGTGCTACAGTCTCTTCTGCTTTGAGACGGTAATTATGTTTGCTAAGGGAGTTAAGCGATGATGGAAACTCTAGCAGTAGATAAAGTGTTTCTATTTCTGGCACCTTGGGGATAGAGTATCAATTCACCACAACAGATGGAGCAAAAGCCCTTCAAGTGCTATTGTTGAAATAACTTTGAGACCTGTCATCTGCTAACAGATACTGTTCACGAGCCGGCACTAAGAAGTTTCAGGTTGGTGGCGTGAGATCCTGCCAAATGTCCGTCACAGCTGCGGTTTAAGTAAAAGCTGACGGGGAAACAAGGTAGGTGAACGGCACTCTGCACGGGAAGGACGGTTTGCTGGAAAGAAGTTTCTCTCTGGTAATGTTTGTAGGGAAAAATTGGAGCAGAGAGAGTGTGATTTATAGTTTAGCTTGTCTCATCCTTACTGTGGTGACAGGTTGGTTTCAATTGTTTATAATTTTGCCCAAATTGAACTTTTTGATCAAAAAATACTGGTGTGTTTTGTGTGTCTGCTCAAATATAATGTAAAATATAAAATATATTTTAAATATATTTAATATAAAAATATATAAAAGCTCAGCTAAGTAGGTTAACTGTTTCCATAACCGAGATTAGGTTGGGGAGGATTCTTTTTCTTCTGTTGAGAAATGAAATCCTATAATTGGTTCATTGAAAAGCCCATGAACATGATACTGAGTCGTCCAGAGCTGCTGATTAGCGTGTGTGAATCATGGGAAAAGGAAAGCCAATTAACATACCTTTCATATGCCAGCTGGGCTTAGATGCATCTTTAGTTTTTGACCTTAAACATGCTTCTGCTTGAAATGCTTTTTTTAGTATCTAACCTATTAATAATTTAGTTCAGACTTACGACTATAAGGGGCAAAGAAATAAAATAAAATAAACAAAAGAAACCCCCCAAAATCCCAAACAAACCAACAAAAACCCACCACAAACCAAACAAACAGCTGGCAGAGCTAATGGATGCGTGTTGTTTACCGTGAATCACTAAAAAATACAATCTGTTATGCTAAGAATGAAGCTTAAACTTGTTCCAGTATTAGGTGGGAAGGCAATATTATTAACTATGCCCTATTAGGACAGCTGTTCATTTTTGTTAGATACTGGAGAGTCTACTCATTTGTCGTTTTCTGCCCTATCATTTTCAAGCATTTGATAAAGCACAAGCGTCAGTTAAAGCTTTTCTCATAATTACCACATTTGTGTCCCTCTCCCTGTGGTTTCTCTGATGGCGAGTATTAATTGTTATAGGCAGCTCATGAAAGCAATAAGAAGTCTCTAGTTTTCACAAAACTGAGGTGTTTGCCATTCTGTAAGAATTGGCTGAAGGTTGTCAATTAACTGAAAACTTTTTGAGGGAATTCTTTCTTAGTCTTTTAGGCATCACTTGCAGGGCACTCGGAGAAAGGCAGAGATGACTCAAGTGTATCCTTTGGACTGATTCTGCATAGTGCTCTACTGTGTTATCTAAGCATGTAATATCAGTCTTATGCCTCCAAATACGAATTTTCTATCTATCCAGGACAGCAGGGTGAAAAACTGGATTCAGTGGGTGCTAAGCTGTCATGCTGGAATTCATACAGCAAAGGTACTAAATCTCAAGTATTTTCTGCAAAATAAACTATTTAGCTATCTTTTAGTTCTTATCGAATTGTTTACTCTCCTCCACAAAGGGCAAACAGAGCTGAATCGATACCTTCTCTCTTAATTTTTCAAGTGCTAGCTCAACGGCAGAGAAAGCAAAATTCCTGGAAGCTATCTGCCAAACATTACACAGTGCGTGGAGTAAAAGAGTAAGTGAAATGGGATTATATGAAATATGGGGAAGGAGGAGACTGAGGCACTTGTAGGGTGTTGGTGGGAGATTTTGATGACACTGGGGTAATGTCTTTTAGCTTTCCTGTGTGAAACGAAGTAATGTTAGGATTCACCATAAAAGTAATCATCTCCTGTAATATCCTAATAAGACATATTTCTGTCTAATGAGTGCTGTTTGTTTAGTTCTTTTAGATGTTTTAGCTTGAAACAAACCCATAATATGCTACGTTGTGAAACAGAAGGTAGAGTTTCTTGGAGATGGACCTAGATACTATGATTCTGCAGCACTCTAGTGTCCCTAACAAAAATCATCCAGTGCATGTTTGGAAAAAGAAAAGCCGGGAGCCTGAGAAGCAGATTGCTCAGGGTAAAGGACTAGAAAATTGGGCTTGATTATTAAGAGCTGCTGTGGAGTAGCACAATGGCATTTCAGAAAGCTGGCTTCTGCTTTGAAAACCGTTACAGTAATTTTCCATCCTTCCGTTACTAAAAGCATGGGAAACAGGTTTCATCTTTAGGTTTCTAGTGAGCGCTGGACCAGAATCCATCTCGCTGTGCCGTACTTTAGGTAGGATGATTAAGATGTGACTGCCCTCTACTTCGAGCTTTCCCAGAAGTAAGGTGCATAAGCTTTACAAAACTTTCCCTGTGTGAAATTCAGTCTGATGCTGGTTGCTTCTACCGTCCTGCATGTTGCTTAGAGTGGTGTTTAAAAGTCTGCTGTAGGTGTCTCGTGAGCAAACATGTTGAATTGGGGAAACTACAAAGCTTCTTTATTGCATGCAAAGTAATACAAAAGTAAATTTACTAGCTTTAATGGAAGATTTATACAGAGCTATGGGAATACTGTGAAGTTAAAACAGTGTAGCCCAGCTTACTGCAGAGGAAGCATGTCTTGTGAAAACTCCTTCCATTGCACTGGATTTCCTCAGCGTGGTACACTGTTTTTTCACAGGCACCACATTTGGCTCCACCTCCCCAATTCGGCATCCTTATATGTGAAGGGTGACCTGGAAAATCAAATTACATAAATGAATGCAACAGCAAAAGTGAATTATTTTAAACAGGGCAGCTTGATATTTTTTTTTTTTTAATTTTTTTTTTTCCTCCCTCTCCAATCAACTGCTATTGCATATCCACAATATACTACATACCCGTGCGGTAGCAGGAATGCATCCTATCCATGGGTGAGGGTACTAGCCTGGTGCTTTGGGGGGGGCAGAGACAGTTTAAATCCTCTGTCCTGTGTGACCCTCTTTTGTGAACAAGGATATTCCTTAGCTTGCCATATTGCGATGGTAAATATGTGAAGTGATTGTGAGGTGTTTCAATGAAAAGGTGCCAGGATCACTCAAACCTCTCCTGGAGAAGTGGTTCTAGGATTTATTTTCCAACAAATAGTCATTTTCTTTCAATCCTGCCCTCGCCTGTATCCCAAGTGTAGCCTTTTCCCCTCTGTTTTTGCTTTATGTGTGTTCATCTGGTTTTGCGAGGCAATTTTTAATGGAGGCTAACAAACACTTTGAAGCTTTACTGGACTTTAAGCAAAAGTGTGGACAGTACTTGGCATTAAATTTTCTACAGAACAATACTCTACCTAGACTCTCTGTTAAGAGACAGCATATAGTACTATTTATACATCTCCAAAGCAAGTGCTAGTTCATCCAGTGCCACATGAGCTTCCTTGGTGACATGTATAAAGGCAATTTTCTGTGTCAGTATGATGATATTCTATACAATTTACACCTGGAAAATTCCACCTTGAAGTTTAACAGATGTACAATGTTGTTTCAGAGGACACTTTAATAGAAACAAGTTGTTTGTTGCTTTTCTGAATTCCTCCTAAGACAGCTGCAAGATCACTGTGCTGCACAGCCGTTACAAAGTAATAATAGGTAGGTTCCTAAGGTGCTTAAAGCATGTTTTTCATTGTCAATTGTTTCTAAAATCTAAACATCGGAGAAAAAAAAGAGTTGTGGTTACTGTTCCAGTCCTTGCTCTTCCAGTTACTGTTGAAGTGACTTGCCCAAGGTCACACAGGAGAGCGGTGTCGGAGCCAGGAGCCCAGCGTAGGTCTCCTGATGGCAGGCTCAGTAAGTGCCCTTCCTGGTGATTGCGCTATCACGCATCTGAAACAACCCCAACCTACGGTTTGCCCTTCTGTTTTTTTGTTTGAGTCATCGTTTCTGGAAAGACTGGGACGTCATCTTGTCACCTGCACATCGTATTATCGGGTTGTTCCAAACTCCTGGCACAGGCCTTCCATCTCCTTCTTGGAAAATCAGTCACCTTCTTATTATAGTTCTTTCGAAGCCTGCTTGTGCTATTTGTGTTTGATTAAATTTGCCATAAGATACTCTTAGCATTCAAAATCCTTTGCTTGGTTGAATCAGGCCTGCTACCTGAGAATTTTATTCTGAGGTCAAGTGAGAGAGAGAGGGGAATTCATCACAGCAGCGATGTAACATAGTTGGTATTTTCAATGCTTACAGTTTAGACTAACATTTTACCGTGTGTGTACATTGGACACTAGTGTCCCGTGTTTATTGTCATCTCAGCAACTTTTGTACTGTATCTTCTGAATTTCAGAGTGAGATGAACAATTTCTACATGCCACCTCTGCAAGCTGAAACTGAAACTGGAGGGAATTATTTCTGGCAACTAACGCTAAACATCATGCAGTGGTATAAAAGACACATCTGTCCAGCAAAAGGAAGGTAGCATAGGAGTGTGTGCACATGCTGAAGCAACAACACTGAAGACATAGCAACGTGGGCACGTTTTAACAATCAGTGTTTGACAACAATGCAGATACCAGCATATCCAAACATCTCCGCTTTAGTACTGCGCTTATTAGTATGTCCTTAACCTGTATAATTACATATTCACTCTTGTGACTCTTACTTGCAGTAGACAGCATACCTGTCATACTCATGCAAGATCCAATCTCTCCTTCTCTTTGTGACGCTGATTTATGCTCAGCTGAACAACCTCCCCAGCTCAATCAGCCTAGTCCTTTGCCGTCATACAGCAACAGCATCGTTCATCTCTTTCAGACCCTGTCGGTTCTCTTGGGAGGCTGTTCACGAGCCGAACTGCTCTGACAGAGAACGGTAATGATGCAAAAAGGAAAACTCTAACCTTGCCTCTAACTCTGCTTATCTGTAATGTGACAAGTAGGAAGCAAAAATCTGATGCAGCTGAAATAAAAAAATAACTGCACACAAGGAACAGACTATGAATTTGGTCCCTTCTTACTCAGTGAAGGCTTTAGTGAACAGCGCTGTTAAAATCTTTTTTCCATTGCTTTTAAATGGGAGATAATGGATCAGAGAGAAATCTTTCATGTAGGTAAAATCTTGTTGTCTCATTCTGCCATTCTGTATTTTCTCCTATTTTTGAAGTACTTATGTATCAGTGCCATTTTTTTCTCTTATAAAAATAGCTCAAGTAATGCTTCAAACATTTTAAGGGAAGGAAGAGCGATGGGAGATAAAAATCAGTTTTGTGACACTTTCTTGAAAATTAAAATGAGATTTCTGTGTTCACAATACTCCCTTTCAAATCAAGTTTCCAGTCGAATCCCTTCCCAGCTGGAGCAGCACCGATAACTGCCTGGGAGAAGAGCGGTTTGTACCTCCAGTCTCTATAAAACTGCTTCTGCTGTTTTAGTTCCCCTCAAAAGCACACCAAGCATCTCAATCTGTGGCAACGGGATACTTGTTGGAAAGTAGCTCCAATTACATCATTAGCTGAAGGAAAAAAAATAATCTCTGAAAAAGTCTGATAATGCGTGATAGTAAACCTTGTGCTGTTAGAGGCTGTGGTTAGAGCTCTTAAAAGGACCATTGCTCCTGAGGCTAATTATAGTGACATGACTGGGCATGCATACACTTTTTCCATGTTTTTTTGGCATCACCTGATGGGAAGCTGTAGGAGAAAGAAGTCACAGTAAAACTTTCCCATAAGGATACCAGTGTAAGAATGGCAGTGTATGCCGTGATGTCTGCGCTGGCTGCCTTAACGGCTGGGTGAGGTACCAAGGCAAGTCCGTGCTCTTCGTGTCCTCGCTTTATTCCTCTCTCCCAACACTGAACGGCAGCGGCCATCCCTGTGGACGCTGCCTGTGCAGCAGTATTACCACGAGCAAGTAAATTCTATAGAGTATATGGCATTCATCATTTTCTTCTTATCTAAATTATAACAGTGGATAAAGCTCTATCCTTACAACATGCAAATAGAACTCGGTCTTCTGTTTGTCATAAGAAAAAATATACCCAAATTCTTAATTTCACTTAATTTCATTAGATTTCAGCTTCCAAATCCCCTTGAATTGCCTGAACTTTGTTGTCTTAATCTGGTTAACTTGCAGTGACTGCTAACCACACGGTACTTCTTACATTTTGGTCATCTACTGGGAGATAGAGTGGACCCATTCTACATGTATGAAACATGTGACGGAGAAACTTTGGAGCGTTAGTGTTGCGACACGTTGGCAGGCACTCACAGTACTGTTAAGCTGGAGGAGTGTTCTTGGACTTGCTCTAATAGTATTCAGCAGCTTGTATCGTTCCACTTCAAAATGCAGCTACTATATGGAGTAGAATTTATACATGCTAGATGTGCAGCCAAGGATACGTGCTTCTTGTTATTTAGAGCTTGTAACACTACCACATAGGCTAGCCTCGGAGCAAGGAAGCCTTTGAAGTGTTTCTGTGCTCTGCCCAGGCATGAAAAAATGTGAGCCGTCTTCTGTTGTGCTGTTAGTCATACCGTACAAATCTGGATGTCACATAGCTATCGCAGAGTGTGTGCCACTCGAGTCAGAGTGCTATCGATAAGTATATAATCCAAAAATATATTTAGATCCATTGATCTAAATGGGAAGTGGATGCATTACTGGCCCGATGAAGTTGTGTAGAGGAGTAAAAGGCAGCGCTCGTGCTAGACGGTGTGGCGCAGGTGAAAACTATGTTGAAAGTAAATCTGGTGTTTCCTTGCTAAACAGGAGGTTTTCCCTCCTATATGCTTATGCATTTGACAGTCTAGAGCTCAGGGTCATATCTGAATGGACTGCAGAAGCTGCGTTTTGTGTGGCTGGGAGGATTATTTCAGGGTGCCACATGTGCTACAGGATGGCTTTGAAGGGGATAAACGGAATGGGAAATGTCGGTCTTCATGACCACCGGTAGGAATGGTGGTAGGAATGCTGAATGGGGACTGACAGATAGGACGTGCCTTGCATCGCTCTCTATTTTAGACCCAGCTAGCTGTTTGGTCTAGAATCAGTTGAAAGTATAAGAATACTGATTCCTTACCTAATAAATAAACAGTAATAATTAAAATTAAATCACTGTCTACGCTGAAATGCCAATATCAAGGCTACGTTTGAAATTCTTTTCCCAGCTGAAGTCTGTGGGAAATGCCAACGCAGGCGGGACTTCATTCTGGTATCTAATCAGAGCTCTGCTGCTGACCTGTCCTGTGACGACCAGTGACTCATTCGACTGTCCTTACTGTTACCCGCCTCACGAGCACCTTGGGGGTAAGGATATATAGCTTCCTTTATAAAAGTAGCAATAAAATGCTGCTGTGGTTTTTCTCTTTCTCTGCAACTAACGCTCACTGTTAGGTTTTATCTTGATGTGTCTGCAGCGTAAAGTGCAATTCCTGCCACTGCATCTCAAAAAGCCTGAACGTGTTTTTGTCAAAATCCAATCCATTGCAGAAAGCGTTCTCTCTCAGCAGAATAGATTCACAACAGAGAAAATGTTTGCGTTTGAAGATTGAAGTCATTTAATGAAGATGCAGTATTGTTAGGTATTTATAACCGTATTTCTTATATTCTGATGCATTCAGTGGACTATGGATATAGGTAAATTTTAAGTTTATTAACATCATACATTTACCCTCCACCACAATCTCATTATATGACTAGCATTTTTCCTTTATTTCTGCAGTAAACAAACACACAGATCAAGGGATGGCAATTTCCACACTGACA